TAAGGTTGGTAACTGATCATGACTTCAGAAACCAGGTATATAAATATCTCTTGCTGACTGCAGATATGCTCTGCTACTTCGATGTTCCAAGAGTGCAGGCCTAAATCGATAGGGAATGGGGACGAGGTGGTGTAAAAATGACTTGATTTCGATTTAGTCTTTGGCTCTCTCTGGTGGATGTACTAAATACCAGCACACAGTCTGTACTGTTCTTAGGGACTGAACGTTATTTATCCAGACAATGTACTATAAATAGCCTATTGTATTTAGGAAGTACATTTTCTTATATAACTTTGTCCTGTGCTTCTCCAAGCATGCACTTCCTATAGCCTATCGTGCACTGCTACTGAATTTATCAGAGATGAGGTACACACATCAATATATAAGCAACCCAAAAAAAATCACAGAAACAATCTATTACAAATTTCATGACCCTTCCCATTTTTTCCTAGAGTTCCCAGTTGTCTTGAACACACTGAAGTCGGAAGTCTGAAATGTCAGAGTTCCCAGTTGTATTGAATGCATTTCTACCACTGTACGTCATCACTACAAGCGCTATTTCATTCGCTAGATACTCTACATGCCCACGTTCTTGATATGCCAAGCACAAAGAGGGACTGATCGAACAGCCAATGGAAAGGTAAAAGCGAAATGCCCACCAATGCCAGGCTTAGGGAGGAGAATGAGAGAATGATGTTGCTCTTCTACTAATCTCACTGCAACTCCCCTCCATGTCTCCGACCACTACTTTGTATCCTTTTCTCTCTCGCTCTCCTCCAACACTACTCACTCTGCCCCTACACAGATGGTAACGCGCCGCCGCAACCTTCGCTCTCTCTCTCCCACTACTCTCTCCTCTTCCATCCTATCATCTCTTCCCTCTGCTCAATTCTTCTCCCTCCAATCTCCTGATTCTGCCTCCTCAACCCTCCTCTCCTCCCTTTCTGCATCCTTTGACTCCCTGTGTCCCCTATCCTCCCGGCCGGCTCGGTCCTCCCCTCCAGCTCCGTGGCTTGACGACTCATTGCGAGCTCACAGAACAGAGCTCCGGGCAGCTGAGCGGAAATGGAAGAAAACTAAACTCCCTGCCGACCTGGCATCTTTTCACTCCCTCCTCTTTTCTTCATCTGTTTCTGCTGCTAAGGCCACTTTCTACCACTCTAAATTCCAAGCATCTGCCTCTAACCCTAGGAAGCTCTTTGCCACATTCTCCTCACTGCTGAATCCTCCCCACCACCCCCCCCCCCCCCCCCCCCCCCTCCTCCCTCTCTGTGGATGACTTCGTCAACCACTTTGAAAAGAAGGTTGACGACATCCGATCCTCGTTTGTTAAGTCTAATGACACTGCTGGTCCTGCTCACACTGCCCTACCCTATGCTTTGACTTCTTTCTCCCCTCTCTCTCCAGATAAAATCTTGCGACTAGTGACTGCAGGCCGCCCAACAACCTGCCCGCTTGACCCCATCCCCTCCTCTCTTCTCCAGACCATCTCCGGTGACCTTCTCCCCTACCTCACCTCGCTGATCAACTCATCCTTGACCGCTGGCTATGTCCCTTCCGTCTTCAAGAGAGCAAGAGTTGCACCCCTTCTCAAAAAACCAACACTCGATCCCACTGATGTCAACAACTACAGACCAGTATCCCTTCTTTCTTTTCTTTCCAAAACTATTGAGCGTGCCGTCTTTAGCCAACTCTCTTGCTATCTCTCTCAGAATGACCTTTTTGATCCAAACCAGTCAGGTTTCAGGACTGGTCATTCAACTGAGACTGCTCTTCTCTGTGTCACGGAGGCTCTCCGCACTGCTAAAGCTAACTCTCTCTCCTCTGCTCTTGTCCTTCTAGACCTGTCTGCTGCCTTTGATACTGTGAACCATCAGATCCTCCTCTCCACCCTCTCCGAGCTGGGCATCTCCGGCGCGGCTCACTCCTGGATTGCGTCCTACCTGACCGGTCGCTCCTACCAAGTGGCGTGGCGAGAAGCTGTCTCCGCACCACGTGCTCTCACCACTGGTGTCCCCCAGGGCTCAGTTCTAGGCCCTCTCCTTTTCTCCCTATACACCAAGTCACTTGGCTCTGTCATATCCTCACATGGCCTCTCCTATCATTGCTACGCTGACGATACACAACTAATCTTCTCCTTTCCCCCTTCTGATAACCAGGTGGCGAATCGCATCTCTGCATGTCTGGCAGACATATCAGTATGGATGACGGATCACCACCTCAAACTGAACCCTGGCAAGACGGAGCTGCTCTTCCTCCCGGGGAAGGACTGCCCGTTCCATGATCTCGCCATCACGGTTGACAACTCCGTTGTGTCCTCCTCCCAGAGTGCGAAGAGCCTTGGCGTGACCCTGGACAACACCCTGTCGTTCTCCGCTAACATCAAGGCGGTGACCCGATCCTGCAGGTTCATGCTCTACAACATTCGGAGAGTACGACCCTGCCTTACACAGGAAGCGGCACAGGTCCTAATCCAGGCACTTGTCATCTCCCGTCTGGATTACTGCAACTCGCTGTTGGCTGGGCTCCCTGCCTGTGCCATTAAACCCCTACAACTCATCCAGAATGCCGCAGCCCGTCTGGTGTTCAACCTTCCCAAGTTCTCTCACGTCACCCCCCTCCTCCGCACACTCCACTGGCTTCCAGTTGAAGCTCGCATCCGTTACAAGACCATGGTGCTTGCCTATGGAGCAGTGAGGGGAACGGTACCTCCGTACCTTCAGGCTCTGATCAGTCCCTACACCCAAACGAGGGCATTGCGTTCATCCACCTCTGGCCTGCTGGCTCCCCTTCCTCTGCGGAAGCATAGTTCCCGCTCAGCCCAGTCAAAACTGTTCGCTGCTCTGGCACCCCAATGGTGGAACAAGCTCCCTCACGACGCCAGGACAGTGGAGTCACTCACCACCTTCCGGAGACATTTGAAACCCCACCTCTTTAAGGAATACCTGGGATAGGATAAAGTAATCCTTTTACCCCCCCCCCAAATTTTAAAATAAATTTAAAAAAAATTGGAAAGTGGTTATCCCACTGGCTATAGGGTGAATGCACCAATTTGTAAGTCGCTCTGGATAAGAGCGTCTGCTAAATGACGTAAATGTGCCCTTGAGCAAGGCACTTAACCCTAATTGCTCCTGTAAGTCGCTCTGGATAAGAGCGTCTGCTAAATGACTAAAATGTAATGTAAATGTAAGCACAAAGAGGGACTGATCGAACAGCCAATGGAAAGGTAAAAGCGAAATGCCCACCAATGCCAGGCTTAGGGAGGAGAATGAGAGAGAGAGCAGGGTTGTACACCAAAGTTACACATAGTCTAATTCAATATGTACATTCCAAAATGCTGAAAAATACTGACATTTAATCGAATACAATGACCCTCCCCTGGACTAAAAATAAATAAATACTAAACCCTCCCCCATTTTCCTCCGCGTAACAATTGCGTAAATTTCGACCGCTCGCCTAAAATTAAAAATAAAGAAAATGACTCAAGTAAAAGTGAGTCACCCAGTAAAATACTACTTGAGTAAAATACTTAAAGTATCTGGTTTAAAATGTACTTACGTATCAAAAGTATAAGTACATCCTATACATCAAATTCCTTTTATTAAGAAAACAAGACAGACCGATTTATTTTGTATATTTTTATCTATGGACAGCCAGGGGCACACTCCAATATTCAGACATAATTTACAAACCTAGTAGTTGTGTTTAGTGAGTCCGCCAGATCAGAGGCAGTAGAGATGACCATGCGTTCTCTCGATAAGTGCGAATTGGACCATTTTGCTGTCCTGCCTGAGCATTCGAAATGTAACAAGTACTTTTGGGTGTCAGGGAAAATGGGAAGAAAAAGTGCATATTATCTTTATGAATATAGTAAAGTATGAGTAATAGTTGGCAAAAATGTATACTTGAGTAAAGTACAGCCCCCCCACCAAAATGACTTACTTCAAGGTATTTTTACTTAGTTACTTTACACCACTGCCTGCCAAGCAAGGGGGGAGATTTAGTTTAGTACCACACTAATGCCTTGCCGCTCCCACTGTCTAGCCTAGTGTTGCACATTTATTGTTTGTGGGTTCCAGACACTTGTGCCTTATTGTAAACCCCATACAATCCGTCCAACCCCCATTTATCCCCAGCAAAAAGCCTAGCTATTAGCTAATCAACTCAACATGGGCATCTTTCCAGGCAATTAAACATGAGTTCATTTATCTAAATACAAGCCTATAACTATTGCTAAATCGATCCTCTAGTCTTCTTCTACACTCACCGGCACAGGCTTCTCCTCTCCCTCATGTTGGCACTGACCATTAGCTGAGATGCTGTGTCTGGCTGATCCACATGTCTAGAAGTTTGTTCGTGTTCTTCTTTGTAGGCTCGCACGTCCTTTCAAATAAGTGTAGCCGAGCTGTGAAACTAAAAGGGAGTATGGAAAGGGAGTATGGAAAGGGAGTATGGAAAGGGAGTTTGGAAAGGGAGTTTGGAAAGGGAGTATGGAAAGGGAGTTTGGAAAGGGAGTTTGGAAAGGGAGTTTGGAAAGGGAGTATGGAAAGGGAGTTTGGAAAGGGAGTTTGGAAAGGGAGTATGGAAAGGGAGTTGGAAAGGGAGTATGGAAAGGGAGTATGGAAAGGGAGTATGGAAAGGGAGTTTGATACACTTGAATGACTTGCCTTAGTTATTTAGCAAGATAATGGCACAGAGATTTTGCTAACGCTCTCCATCTCAACCACTGAGGTATGATCACAAGTTTATCGAAAACTACAGAGGACATTCAAGGATATTCAACAACACTGTCATCGAAAAATACATACACTAGGGGATGCACAATCCCATAGCATGACAAGGTCATGAAGTTGTGCAATGTGCAGTTCATTGCTCCGGCTGAGAGTTCTTCCATAAATTACAACACTTTTATAATCCAAATGTAGCTAGACATGTTATTAATAGATAAAGCTAAACTTTTGAAAATAAAACAAACAGTTTATGTTATTCAGAGGGTTTCTGTTTATTACAAAAATCGTAAAAGTAATAAAATGCAACATTTGTTTTTGTCACCATTAACATGGACTACAAATTATTTTTAAATACAATTTTCGCCAATGCCCCATGGGCTTGTTCAGTTGAGATGGTTTCAAATAGAAATGCAATGTATGGCCTACACAATTCCCTATGCAGTCAGTGTCAGTTCTCTCACAAAAATATTTTCCATTGGGCCTAAAAACCACAACTCTGTTGTCTTCCAGGTCTTCGAAGCACTGGTCACAACCTTACTTCTGTTTGGACTTCACAGCTGCTTTCAGTTTGGTGTAGAGATATCCACAATTCTTAAAAATGAAAGTAGATAAATGAGCACACAGTCAGTGATCCTTGAGCAACAATTTCAGAACATGGCACTATTGCATAATTAATATTGCATAATCTCACAATCAAATAATATGCTTCATATCCCGTTGGGAAAATGCACTCTTTTGGATCCAGTGACAGGGTTTGTTGGCAAATGAGCAGTCTCTATGTATACCAAGGTGAACTGTGAATGTCTACCAACCTCGATGGCATAGTAGACTATCCCCAGGTAAGCAGCTATACAGCCCCCAAGGAAGAGGTCAAAGGCTGCTGGCTTTATCCTGGTGATAAAACATATATGGAACGAAATCCAGTTAACAATTACCAAACATAATCAAAACATGGAAACAAACCTCACAAACCCAAACTATGAAATGCGTTGTTTGTTCAATTTGTATACACTATTCGGTATAATAAAAATATGTATTTGAATCAAGGTTAGTCGTTGGATTTGGAAGTGTGGGTGTTTTGGATACTCAGTTTTCCTCATTGGACTAGCACCTAAAATGTGACTGTTTTGCATTATATAAAAAAATACATTTTGTCCTTATACCTATACATCATCATTGGTTGCTCCATTTGGTCAAAAAAGGTAAGTTCAGGATCCCTGAAAGAGAAACAAAACATTACCAATTCACTCTTAACAATCATAATTGCAAGGAATGCAAGGAATGAAAGGAAGGAGGACGTGTTGTTTATGACTGTGTGGGTGCATCTGTCTGTCTTGTACCTCTTGTCTTGGCGGAAGGTGTGTCTGTGGACCTGGTGCAGGTAGTGCCTCAGCTCATGCTCCAGAGTGTTCACCAGTATGGCGTGTTTGGGATCCTTGTCCAGCTGTGTTGCCCGTGGGAGTGACGTCAGGAAGGACATCATGCTAGACATACGACTGTCCTGAAACTCCTATACCAGAGATTGAGACGGACAATTGAGGATGCATACAGTAACTTCACTGTACAAGTTTAGGTTAGAGGTACAGTGCCTTCAGAAAGCATTCATACCCCTTGACTCATTTCACATTTTGTTGTATTACAGCCTGAATTCAAAATGGATTAAATCTACGTTTTTTCTTCACCCATCACCACACAATACCCCATAATGACAAAGGGAAAAATTTTATTGGAAATTAAATAAATACATTTTTAATTTATATATCAGTCAAAAGTTTGGACACACCTACTCATTGAAGGGTTTTATTTATTTTTACTATTTTTTACATTGTAGAATAATAGTGAAAATATCAAAACTATGAAATAACACATATGGAATCTTGTAGTAACCAAAAAAGTGTTCAACAAATCAAAATAGATTTTATATTTGAGATTCTTTAAATAGCCACCCTTTGCCTTGATGACAGTTTTGCACACTTTTGCCATTCTCTCAACCAGCTTAACCTGGAATGGCTGTCCGACCAAACTGAGCAAGAAGGACCTTGGTAGAAGCATGTAAAAGACTGAGATCATAAGGCAAAATATCCTGTGGTCTGATGAAACAAATGTAACTCTTTGGCCTGAATGCAAAGTGCTATGTCTGGAGAAAACCAGGCACAGCTCATCACCCGTCTAACACCATCCCTACTGTGAAAGATGGTGGTGGCAGGATCATGCTATCAGGATTTTTTTCAGCGGCAGGGACTGGGAGACTGGTAAGGATAGAGAGAACAATGAATGGCGCCAAATACAGGCAAATCCTTGATGAGAACCTGCTTCAGAGTAGGTTCTCATCAAACGACCTTAGACTGGGGCACCCCATCTAACTTAACAGAGCTTGAGAAAATCTGCAAGGAAGAATGGTAGACAAATCCCTAAATACAGATGTATAAAGCTGATACAGACATACCCAAGATGACTCAAAGCTGTAATTGCTGCCAAAGGTGTATTGACTCATGGGTGTGAATTCTTATGTAAAGTAGATATTTCTGTATTTCATTTTCAATAAATTTGCCAAAAATATCAAAAAATACTATGGGGCATTGTGTGTAGATGTGTGAGAGAAAAAATCGATTTAATCCATTTTGAATTCAGGCTATAACATAACAAAATATGGAATAAGTAAAGGGGTATGAATACTTTATGAAGGCACTCAAAGATGGAATCGTAAAACACAACAAGTGGCAATCAAGTGTTTCCTTAAGAAGGTTAAATTAACGATTCCCCTTGCATTATGTTTGCACTGATTATGTTCACATTATGTTTTCACTGTGCACAGTACAGTCAATTTCTGATAACTCTGCTTGGAACTGATGCAACAGTGTGTCCTAAACTGGAGGACAGAATTGTTCCCTTTATGACTATAGTTGCCTTTCCTGATTCTGGTAAAAAATGTAATCTTACCATTTGGCCCTTGAAGACCTGTATGTCTTTTGGGGAACCCTATTGGAAAACAAATAGAGATGAGTTATGCAAGAAAACATACAATCCAAAATGATTCAAATAAAGTATTCTAGTGTGTGTATGTGTGTGTGTGTGTGTGTGTTTGTACACATGTTTTATACCTTGTCAGAGAGATTATACATAAACCGAGCCAGCGATTCTGCAATAACGAGTGTATTGCGCTTCATCTTCCTCAAGTCCACATGCAACCTGTTGGGAGGATAGCAGCCTCATTATGGACTCATCGAGGACCTTTTTCAGACTCTGTAGCCATAGTAATATATATGCATTTAATATACTGTTGTCATGCCACCCTAAAATTAAAACAGAGCAGTGCCACTCACACAGTGTCCAGGATGGAGCCTCTGAGTTCAGCTTTGGGGTCCTCCAGGTGAGACAGCGTGAAGCCTGGTATCCTGCGCATGGCATAGCGCTCGTGCTCCCAGGCCACAGTGGACTCCCCCAGGTTGATCTTCTTGTGGACCATCCCAAGCCTCACCCAAGGGAACCGGGAAGAAACTACCTACGATGGAAGGTGGTGGGATGCATATACGTTTAGTTCATACAAGTGACATTGGGCCTTCAAGCACCTCCCCACTTCCTACAGTATCTGCTGGTAGGAGGAGTTACCTGCTCCAGCTGTTGAACGAAGGCGTGTTGAGGGGTGCCAGGTTTGGGGGGGCGGGACACATGTAGGAACATGTCGTCCCCATTGGCCAGTGTGTCCAGACACAGGACAAACGCCACATTGTCATGGAGAAGGCTGGTCTCTGGAGGGAGACGGACCACAAGGATAGAATCAACTTGAGGGAGACATAAAGCAAGGCTACAATCAACTGGACTACAGGGCTGTTGTAGCAGTGCCCTCCCATCCATGGTTCACCCACTAAGCAGCTGATGAAAATACAAGTATGTGGTAAAGTAGGTATGACGACATGTTAAGGGGCCTTCCTCCCTACTGTAGAAGCTGGGTGTACAGTCGTGGTCAAACGTTTTGAGAATGACACAAGTATTGGTCTTCACAAAGTTCGCTGCTTCAGTGTTATGAGATATTTTTGTCAGATGTTACTATGGTATACTGAAGTATAATTACAAGCATTCCATAAGTGTCAAATGCTTTTATTGACAATTACATTAAGTTTATGCAAAGAGTCAATATTTGCAGTGTTGACCCTTCTTTTTCAAGACCTCTGCAATCCGCCCTGGCATGCTGTCAATTAACTTCTGGGCCACATCCTGACTGATGGCAGCCCATTCTTGCATAATCAATGCTTGGAGTTTGTCAGAATTTGTGGATTTTTGTTTGTCCACCCACTTCTTGAGGATCGACCACAAGTTCTCAATGGGATTAAGGTCTGGGGAGTTTCCTGGCCATGGACCCAACATTTCAATGTTTTGTTCCCCAAGCCACTTAGTTATCACGTTTGCCTTATGGCAAGGTGCTCCATCATGCTGGAAAAGGCATTGGTCGTCACCAAACAGTTATTGGATGGTTGGGAGAAGTTGTTCTCAGAGGATGTGTTGGTACCATTCTTTATTCATGGCTGTGTTCTTAGGCAAAATTGTGAGTGAGCCCACTCCCTTGGCTGAGAAGCACCCCCACACATGAATGGTCTCAGGATGCTTTACTGTTGGCATGACACAGGACTGATGGTAGCGCTCACCTTGTCTTCTCCGGACAAGGTGTTTTCCGGATGCCCCAAACAATCGGAAAGGGGATTCATCAGAGAAAATGACTTTACCCCAGTCCTCAGCAGTCTAATCCCTGTACCTTTTGCAGAATATCAGTCTGTCCCTGATGTTTTTCCTGGATGTTTTTCCTTCTTTGCTGCCCTTCTTGACACCAGGCCACCCTCCAAAAGTCTTCGCCTCACTGTGCGTGCAGATGCACTAACACCTGCCTGCTGCCATTCCTGAGCAAGCTCTGCACTGGTGGTGCCCCAATCCCGCAGCTGAATCAACTTTAGGAGACAGTCCTGGCGCTTGCTGGACTTTCTTGTGCGCCCTGACACCTTTTTCACAACAATTGAACCTCTCTCCTTGAAGTTCTCGATGATCCGATAAATGGTTGATTTAGGTGCAATCTTACTAGCAGCAATATCCTTGCCTGTGAAGCCCTTTTTGTGCAAAGCAATGATGATGGCACGTGTTTCCTTGCAGGTAACCATGGTTAACAGAGGAAGAACAATGATTTCAAGCACCACCCTCCTTTTAAAGCTTCCAGTCTGTTATTCTAACTCAATCAGCATGACAGAGTGATCTCCAGTCTTGTCCTCGTCAACACTCTCACCTGTGTTAACGAGAGAATCACTGACATGATGGCAGCTGGTCCTTTTGTGGCAGGGCTGAAATGCAGTGGAAATGTTTTTGGGGGATTAAGTTCATTTTCATGGCAAAGAGAGACTTTGTAATTAATTGCAATTCATCTGATCACTCTTCATAACATTCTGGAGTATATGCAAATTGCCATCATAAAAACTGAGGCAGCAGACTTTGTGAAAATTAATATTTGTGTCATTCTCAAAACGTTTGACCACGACTGTACATGCAGTGGCTAGAGTTTTTAGGGTGTAGATGCTTTATGTTTCTGACTTGAGATGGTTGGTCTTGGTCTAGATCTCGAAAGTTATGGTCTTGACTCCATATCTGAAAGACGATCAAGTGAAACAGCAACTCACCGGCATGATCCATATTCTCCTCTATAAACCTCTTGGTACCCAGGAAGTTATACTTCCCACCGCCAGTCAGGGAGAAAAGAAGATGGTATCTAAAACACAAAGAACACAAGTGTCATTTCAAAAGCCCAAACATTCCCTGAAAACCTGATTTGCAGTTTTGATTGGATAAGGTCCTAAGGCCTATTACTCAAATTGTATGATATTTGAAATGTAATAGAAATGTAATATATGTGATTAATACTTTTTATATGATCTATGAATAGTGATCATATATAATATAAATAGTAATAATATATGCCATTTAGCAGACACTTTTTCCAAAGCGACTTAAAGTCATGCGTGCATACGTTTGACGTATTCTACCAACTGAGCTACAATAATAACTAATTAATGACCTGTAAATAACTAAAAGATAGTGTGTGTAACTCACGGAGGCTGGCTGTGGGGTTTGCTGTAAAGTTTCTGGAAGAGACGGACCAGCTCAAGCAAGATGGTGACTCCACTACCATTTGAGTCTGCTCCATACGACAGCCACTGTTTTACACACACACATATTCTTGATTGAAACTCAGTATTTGTGAATAAATGTTTATTTCACTAGTGTATACGCAGCGTGCAGTTGACTTACTGGAGTAAGGCCGTAGGAGTCATAGTGGGCCGTGATAACGATAGTGGGCACATCCTCTCCAGCACCAGGAAGTACACCCTGAACGCACAGTGACCAATCACAATCTGTACACAAGTCTGACATGGCTATGTTGGGACCAGTAGGACTAATACAGTATTTCACATCCAATTATCATTTTGAAACCAAATTGCATGGTTCATATGCCATAAGAATTAGCTGATGCCCTTGGTCATAGACAGGGTCGGAGAGACTCACCTCCAGAGTAATGATTGTGTTGTCAGTGATGGGCTTGATGGGGTTGGTGTTGCTCACTAGAATCTGAAATACGGTGGCTGTGACCATACTACGGAACACTGAAAGAGACAGAGAGTAAAAGAGAGAGGGAGAGAGAAGTTCAAGTTGTATTGTATGAAAGATGCTGAACCTATTACATTTATTATTAAAATCTCATTTTAAATTGCGCTGTATCCTCTCCTCCTCTCTTCCCTCACAGTCTACCTCCTTTCCTCATCCCCCTCTCAACCTTCCTACTCTCCAGACCCTCTTCCTCCCATCCCGCCTCCTCCTCTCACCTCGGACCAGTATAGAGGAGGTGCGGGAGGCTGCTGCGTGCTTGACCTCTTCGTACATATAAAGGAGCTGCTCGTCCTCCGGGGTCACGTACACAGGCATGATGGTATCCTTTAGCAGCGCTTCACTCTCACTCACCATGAAGCTCTGTATGGAAGCAAAGGGTTAACATTATATTGGTGTAATGTGCCACACATCCAGAAGAACTCGAAGGTGCCGGGTAGAGAAAACAGGCATTGTCATAAACCTGCAGATTGTCGTATACTCCCAAGTGATTGATATTACAACAGAATGGGCCGCTAACCCTGATTAAAGGTCTAAGATACCTGTATGATTTCCTGGGGGACAGCGGACATGTTTCTGGGGAGCAGGAGGAGTACAGCGGCAGCGCTCTGCCTCAGCGCCTCCAGGTATCGCTCCACGGTGAAGTCCGGCAGCTTCATGATGACACAGCGTCGTGTTAACACTGGTTCGTCTGCTGAGCGGGCCTCCGCCTGCACTATGGCACCGCGACAACCTCCACAGCCCAACACAGAGGTCACAGGTCAAAACACAGTTCCAAACTTTACTTTCCGTCTTTCCTGTCTCAATCACAGAAAAGACAAATACTAAAAGAGGAAAACAGTGCACAAGTATCTTCTTTAGGACTACTGTACAGAGGGTCATGCGTACGGCCCAGTACATCACTGGGGCCAAGCTTCCTGCCATCCAGGACCTCTATACCAGGCGGTGTCAGAGGAAGGCCCCAAAAATTGTCAAAGACTCCAGCCACCCTAGTCATAGACTGTTCTCTCTGCTACCGCACAGCAAGCGGTACCGGAGGGCCAAGTCTAGGTCCAAAAGGCTTCTTAACAGCTTCTACCCTCAAGTCATAAGACTCCTGAACAGCTAATCAAATGGCTACCCGGACTATTTTCATTGTCCCCCCCCCCCCCCCCCCCTTTTTACAGTGCTGCTACTCTGTTTATTATCTATGCATAGTCACTTTAACTATGCCTACATCTACATATTACCTCAATTACCTCGACTAACCGGTGCCCCTGCACATTGACTCTGTATCGGTACGCCATGTACGTAGCCTCACTACTGTTATTTTTAATGTTATTTTACTGCTTTTATTTTTTCTTTATCTATTGTTTACTTAACACTTATTTTTCTTAAAACTGCATTGTTGGTTAAGGGCTTGTAAGTAAGCATTTCACTGTAAGGTCTACACCTGTTGTATTCGGCGCATGTGACAAATACAATCTGATTTGATTTGTACATCCAAAGAAGGCTGCTCTACAGAGCTGCACTATAATAAAAATGTATTATAAAATAACAGGTGTATACTTTCCTCTGATGCAGATACAGTGCCTTGCAAAAGTATTCATCCCGCTTGGCATTTTTCCTATTTTGTTGCATTACAACCTGTAATTCAAATGGATTTTTATTTGGATTTCATGTAACTGACATACACAAAATAGTCCAAATTGGTGAAGTGAAATGAAAAATATAACTTGTTTCAAAAAATTAGAAAAATAAATAACGTTAAAGTGGTGCGTGCATATGTATTCACCCCCTTTGCGATGAAGCCCCTAAATAAGATCTGGTGCAACCAATTCCCTTCAGAAGTCACATAATTAGTTAAATAAAGTCCACCTGTGTGCAATCTAAGTGTCACATGATCTGTCACATTTACATTTACATTTTAGTCATTTAGCAGACGCTCTTATCCAGAGCGACTTACAGTCACATGATCTCAGTATATATACACACCTGTTCTGAAAGGCCCCAGAGTCTACAACACCACTAAGCAAGGGGCACCACCAAGCAAGCGACACCATGAAGACCAAGGAGCTCTCCAAACAGGTCAGGGACAAAGTTGTGGAGAAGTACAGATCAGGGTTGGGTTATAGAAAATATCCGAAACTTTGAACATCCCACGAAGCACCTTTAAATCCATTATAAAAAAATGGAAAGAATATAGCACCAAAACAAACCTGGCAAGAGAGGGCCGCCCACCAAAACTCACAGACCAGGCAAGGAGGGCATTAATCAGAGAGGCAACAAAGACACCAAAGATAACCCTGAAGGAGCTGCAAAGCTCCACAGCTGAGATTGGAGTATCTGTCCATAGGACCACTTTAAGCCGAACACTCCACAGAGATGGGCTTTACGGAAGAGTGGCCAGAAAAAAACCATTGCTTAAAGAAAAAAATAAGCAAACACGTTTGGTGTTCGCCAAAAGGCATGTTGAAGACTCCCCAAACATATGGAAGAAGGTACTCTGGTCAGATGAGACTAAAATTGAGCTTTTTGGCCATCAAGGAAAACACTATGTCTGGCGCAAACCCAACACCTCTCATCACCATCCCTACAGTGAAGCATGGTGGTGGCAGCATCATGCTGTGGCAGGGACTGGGAAACTCGTCAGAATTGAAGGAATGATGGATGGAGCTAAATACAGGGAAATTCTTGAGGGAAACCTGTTTCAGTCTTCCAGAGATTTGAGACTGGGACGGAGGTTCACCTTCCAGCAAGACAATGACCCTAAGCATACTGCTAAAGCAACACTTGAGTGGTTTAAGGGGAAACATTTAAATGTCTTGGAATGGCCTAGTCAAAGCCCAGACCTCAATCCAATTGAGAATCTGTGGTATGACTTAAAGATTGCTGTACACCAGCGGAACCCATCCAACTTGAAGGAGCTGGAGCAGTTTTGCCTTGAAGAATGGGCAAAAATCCCAGTGGCTAGATGTGCCAAGCTTATAGAGACATACCCAAAGAGACTTGCAGCTGTAATTGCTGCAAAAGGTGGCTCTACAAAGTATTGACTTTGGGGGGGGGGGGGGGGGGGGGTGAATACATTTACATTTTAGTCATTTAGCAGACGCTCTTATCCAGAGCGACTTACAGGAGCAATTAGGGTTAAGTGCCTTGCTCAAGGGCACCGACAGATTTTTTACCTAGTCGGCTCGGGGATTAGAACCAGCGACCTTGTTATGCATGCTCAAGTTCTGTTTTTTTGTCTTATTTCTTGTTTGTTTATCAGCAAAAAATATTTTGCATCTTCAAAGTGGTAAGCATGTTGTGTAAATCAAATGATACAAACCCCCCCAAAAATCCATTTTAATTACAGGTTGTAAGGCAACAAAATAGGAAAAATGCCAAGGGGGTGAATACTGTCGCAAGCCAGTGTACTTCGTAAGTCTGGCCAAGTGACCCTACCATGTTTTTCCTGCTGTACGGCGTACTGCTGCATCCTATAGGCAGTGAACTCGTAGGAGGATACAGCAAGCAGCGCGGAGGCATGCAGTTGCTGAACACACAGCATGAGTAGTGCTGCCGCTCGGGGCGACATTCTCAGCAGCATGGCTCCACGTCCTGATGAGATCCCCTTACTGTCCGGTCACAGAAATCTGTGGAGGAAGGTTGGCTGTAAAAACAAAGCATGATACATTTTCAGAATGTGCTTATTGAAAACACGATAGCTCATACAGTAAACACAATATTCCTATTTTTCAGGAGATTCCCCAGATATGCCAATAGAAAACTCCCTTACTCCCTAACAGATAGCGCTATAGCTTTTAGTAAAATGATTTACGAAGTACCTGAGCAGCTTAGGAGAGACACATTCCAATCTCTCCATGGCGTATGCCCAGAGTTAGGTTAGGGCCCAAACTATCCAGGGAGAGACCCTCAGGGCCTGGATGTCTTACTCACCTGTCTTCTAGGCCTTCTCTCTCTTGGTGGACAGACAGCGTGTTCTCTCCTCACCTCCTCGCAGCGTGGACATAGACTAGCCTCCTAAGGGAGAAGGCTCAAGACGCCTCGTTGGTAAGCCGCTAAACCCCTGTCCACCGTCTGTCCCTGGGGATAAAGTCAGGCTAATCACCCCCTCTCCCCTACCCTCCTGGCCTGGCCCATAGTCACTGTCACACCCCCATTCACCAGTGGAGGTAATAACTGTACAAGCCCTTGGTCTATCGCTTACAATTTGCTCTATTGGAGGTTCTCAAACTTAAAAAAATATATATATATATCTGGGGACATTACTTTAAATATGTTTTTTTTCTATCCAGCACCCGGATGTGCATATTTTTCCTTTTTCCACAGACATCACATGGAAGTTGCACCACATCTTTTAATTCAGACCTCTGATATTTATTTGTAGACATGATACAATACACAGAACAATAACATTGTTACATACTGAAACTTTAATTGTTCACATCTTCTTTAAAATCACAACGAGCATCTGAAAAAAAACAAAAAAAATAATAAATAAAAAAAACACTACGGCCAATATTTAACATCCGCAAAATAGCACTAAACTTACAATAGTACTGTAGTATTTCAGTGCAGTTTCGTAGATGTAAGTGTTGCCCTCTGGGTCCATGTTAAACTGTATATTTTCCTCTTTTTTTTCTCTCCAAATAAATGACAACATACCACTGGCAATAAATATCTTCCACTACAATGCATTACTTAAGGCATACTCTACTTTAGTAAACTCTGGGGTGAGAGGGAGTGTGAACTTGTGATCACAATGACAGGGGAAACTAACGCTTGGCACTCAGACAAAGCAGGTATACATTGCCATTGCTATTTGGATGATATGTTCTTGAATATGGACAGCGTTTTTCAATTTCTTGCCTACTGAACACAGTAATCCCTGTTTTGCACCATCCCAAAACAGCAGGTATTTTCATTATTTTGGCTTGACCCGTTTGTGCTTGATTTGTCCATAATTTGTGTGGATTCACACTGGAGTCAACCCTTCCTCATATAATTAATTGCACTACAGTGGAATGCACTGGATAACCAAGTACCCAAAGCAGTACAGTAAAGAACATCTTTACTTCATCCATCCCTTTCTTTACATACAGTACGCTATACACAGTCTCGGATCGTTAGACATTCCCTTTCAATGAGGTGCAATTTCCAATTTGAAGCGTTCTACAGTGCATTCTGTGTGTGTGCCATGTGTACTGTGCATGTGAGGTTGTACAGACTGTCTGCTATGAATGGCTGGTGACTGTGTCAGTGGCAGTGAGAAGCACAAGGTGGCGCTACAGCCTACTTCTAGAAGCACTATAGCAGGACATGGGCAGCTACGTACAGGCGGACATTTTGCCCAACCACTATCATTAGTACAAGTGTACTGGTAACATCCCTGCTCAGGAATTCATAAGGACACACATTCTCCAATTCAACTGGTATATTCATACAATAATTTAACACCATCTCGTATTAACTTTCATGGGCATAACAGCCATAATGGATGTTTTTTTGGACACCATTATACAAACAAGAAAAATATGGGCCTTTTGGCACAGTTAAACTACAGTACCCACAACCACTGGGTGCCAGGACTAGGAAACGGTATTATAGTATGGCAGGTACAGAAATTGTTAGCACATTGTTGTTAGTACATTAATCCTACTGAGCATATTGGAAAATGTTCAAAGCAAAACAATTTCAAAGCAATTTACACAAAAAAATGAAGATATAACAAGTGTACAATAGACAAGTGAAGATAGCATAGTAAAATCAACAACGAGTAAACGTATAAGCAGGATGACCCAATATACAATTATATTGAGGGGTAACTGAAACCTTTTAGTGTTATAGAAATATCCACTAAAATAAATGATCATTTTCATGTGGACAGTAGTAGAATGGCACTAAATACACATTGGCTTCACCATACAGTATCTGACCTAGCCTGGTCCCAGATCAGTTTATGCTGTCTTGCCTTGACCATCCTTGAGTTTGTCAAGACAGCACAAACAGATCTGGGACCAGGCTAAGGATGCAGTGGGTAAAGTTAAGAGAGCCTAACCCCCCAGTTACTGTATTGGTGAGGGTGTTTATCTAAGTGGCACAGTGAGCAACATGCAAAGCTGTTCTCAAGTCACATATCAAAGTTGTAGATAAGAATAGTTATTCTGATGTCTTTGTATGAGAATTCAAATGTTCGTTATGTTCACACCTCATGTGTCACGTGTTAGAGGGAGAGAAAGACAATCTGATCAGAAAAGATAGAGGAGCGAGAAGTAAGACCGCTGCAAATCCACTCAACTCAAAACTCACTATGCATTTTAACTTGTGAGATGCCTGCTTAGAAACATAAAATAAATAGTTGCGATTCCTCTGTGTTCGTTGCTGTATCTCCTTAAATATTCTAAAGGGTTTGATACCGACCATGTTTGATTTTAGACGTTACACACTCAGACAGCTCTTCATTCTGTTCAATCAAATGTTTGTCCTTTTGCCACGCTCACAGTACATTCACTGTTGATCCCTCCATACCCTCCATACCGTGACTTTCAGGAGGTCAAACAAAGTTTAAGACAACATATTCCTCAAGAGACCATCTTCGAAACACTCAAGTTGTGAGACCATCTCACACAAGTTCGCATTCTTGAGTCCTTCCATTACCCTCCATGTTATATTCCAAGATGAGACAAGGGAGAGCTGCTTCTGAATACTACTCAGACATAAAGACCTTATAATGTAACAGACAAACGTATGCACATGTCCTACCATAGGAGGAACCAGTTACTCTTAGTAAATTTGCTGTGCATTTTCACCCTTTCCAAATCCACACTAATTCCAATACACCTTTTCTTCTGTCCCACCCCCCCGACCATTTCAACACCCTGGTGGCGGGGGCATCTGTTATGGGAGGGGCTACTGGATGTGGCAGGCTGAGGAGGAGGTGGCTTGGCAGCACATGCAAGTGGGGTTGACTGATTTGGGCGGGATCAGATCCAGATCCTCGTCGTCAGGGATCTCGTCTAGCCGGTAACCGTCCTTCAGTAGCTGGATGTTGAGGTCCTGGTTGATCTGCTGCAGGGGAAAGAGTGGACAAAACATGATAATTTCCCAATCATAATAATAAGAGCCACACACGTCCTTATTGAGTTGAAATCTCACAATGCTTTAGGTTAAACATAAGGGACGTGCTTGTGCTAGTCGTTGTATAGTAGCAGACCTAACACCAAGTAATGAAAAAAACTCTAGTGAGTAAAATTACTACTAAAACACATAAATAGATAAACACATGGATAGAAATGAATGGTGATGAAATGTATGGATAAATCACGCCTGACGGAAATACCATAGTTATAAATTGACAAAAGTGAATGGTGATCAGAGGAGAAAAGATACAGGTTACAGGATAGAGGCGTTGGGAATTGACATAAGCAGGGAAGTGAAGTGACAGGTTAGGTTATGCAGTGCTTATGACAACTTATGACAAGGTTGAGGTGACATTAGCTGTATGTAGTGCATAGATACCTGGTCCCTCAGACATCTCACCTCGGCTGAGGAGTATCCAGACGAAGAGTATCTGGACATGTCAAAGTCATCGTCACTGAAACAAGAAGAGATGAGTAGTCTGATACCTGGACCTACCAAACACCAGGACGCAACACAAACAAGGTTGATAGGGACAGTAAAAAAAAAGTATAATATACAGTGGGGGGAAAAAAGTATTTAGTCAGCCACCAATTGTGCAAGTTCTCCCACTTAAAAAGATGAGAGAGGCCTGTAATTTTCATCATAGGTACACGTCAACTATGACAGACAAATTGAGAATGTTTTTCTCCAGAAAATCACATTGTAGGATTTTTTATGAATTTCTTTGCAAATTATGGTGGAAAATAAGTATTTGGTCACCTACAAACAAGCAAGATTTCTGGCTCTCACAGACCTGTAACTTCTTCTTTAAGAGGCTCCTCTGTCCTCCACTCGTTACCTGTATTAATGGCACCTGTTTGAACTTGTTATCAGTATAAAAGACACCTGTCCACAACCTCAAACAGTCACACTCCAAACTCCACTATGGCTAAGACCAAAGAGCTGTCAAAGGACACCAGAAACAAAATTGTAGACCTGCACCAGGCTGGGAAGACTGAATCTGCAATAGGTAAGCAGCTTGGTTTGAAGAAATCAACTGTGGGAGCAATTATTAGGAAGACCACTGATAATCTCCCTCGATCTGGGGCGCCACGCAAGATCTCACCCCGTGGGGTCAAAATGATCACAAGAACGGTGAGCAAAAATAACAGAACCACATGGGGGGACCTAGTGAATGACCTGCAGAGAGCTGGGACCAAAGTAACAAAGCCTACCATCAGTAACACACTACGCCGCCAGGGACTCAAATCCTGCAGTGCAGACGTGTCCCCCTGCTTAAGCCAGTACATGTCCAGGCCCATCTGAAGTTTGCTAGAGTGCATTTGGATGATCCAGAAGAGGATTGGGAGAATGTCATATGGTCAGATGAAACCAAAATAGAACTTTTTGGTAAAAACTCAACTCGTCGTGTTTGGAGGACAAAGAATGCTGAGTTGCATCCAAAGAACACCATACCTACTGTGAAGCATGGGGGTGGAAACATCATGCTTTGGGGCTGTTTTTCTGCAAAGGGACCAGGACGACTGATCCGTGTAAAGGAAAGAATGAATGGGGCCATGTATCGTGAGATTTTGAGTGAAAACCTCCTTCCATCAGCAAGGGCATTGAAGATGAAACGTGGCTGGGTCTTTCAGCATGACAATGATCCCAAACACACCGCCCGGGCAACGAAGGATTGGCTTCGTAAGAAGGATTTCAAGGTCCTGGAGTGGCCTAGCCAGTCTCCAGATCTCAACCCCATAGAAAATCTTTGGAGGGAGTTGAAAGTCCGTGTTGCCCAGCGACAGCCCCAAAACATCACTGCTCTAGAGGAGATCTGCATGGAGGAATGGGCCAAAATACCAGCAACAGTGTGTGAAAACCTTGTGAAGACTTACAGAAAACGTTTGACCTGTGTCATTGCCAACAAAGGGTATATAACAAAGTATTGAGAAACTTTTGTTATTGACCAAATACTTATTTTCCACCATAATTTGCAAATAAATTCATTAAAAATCCTACAATGTGATTTTCTGGATTTCTTTTTCTCATTTTGTCTGTCATAGTTGACGTGTACATATGATGAAAATTACAGGCCTCTCATCTTTTTAAGTGGGAGAACTTGCACAATTGGTGGCTGACTAAATACTTTTTTTCCCCACTGTACATAAATAATACAATATTGTGCTATGGAGCTTAATTTCTTGATAATAAAAAGAGAAGAACTATAAACTAATTTCGGGATACATCTGAAAACATTGCTCAGTGTTTCAGTGTTCTCTTCCAGAAAATGATTTATGAAAATCTAAATGCAGTGCTATATTCTAGATCTCCAGGCATCTCCCCAGTAGATAATTAGGCACCATAAGGAGCTGACATTTCAGCAGGATTGATTTATTCTAACAGGGACAACCAGCAGAGACAATCTGGAACCTTCCATTGATCCTGACTCCAGGAATGATTGGCCCTATTCTTAATGAGGCTGAACTCTCAGACACGGCCAAACTCAAGACAATAAACTCAACACAAACACACATGTACTTTCATGCATGTTTTTACGTGTTTTTTGTGTGTGTGTGTGTTTTTGAGTAATGGGACATGACATAATAGAAAATGGTGTGTGTGTGTGTGAGGCCAAGAACAACAATGGCAGTGCAATTGAGTGCAAGTGTGAGAGACAAAGAGAGAACAACAGAAAGAGAATCATTGAGTGAGTGAGTGTGCATGCTTAAGCTGAAATAAGGGAGACAAGTGGGTCTCTGTGTCAGAGAGAGAGAGAGAGAGAGAGATAGAGAGAGCGAGCATATGACATACTACATTACGTCATTGTTGTGATGGGTGCCATTTAGTGCAAATCGGCACAGGGTAGGGGACCCATGTATTCGTCCCAAATGGCACCCTATTCCCTTGGCACCCTATACTTTTGACCAGGGCCCTAGCCAAAAGCAGTACACTATGAAGGGAAAAGGGTGCCATTTGGGACGCAGACCATCTGTATCACACGCTGGGCAAGGAGCACTGAAGGAGGGAGGACCCTGAGCCTCTTTTCCCGGCGGTCCAAATCCCAAACCCCCTAATCCGGCACCCTGGGAGAGGATTTTCCCTCATTTGGGAATGCCTCTGCCTACTTGCCGAGAGAGAGAGAGGCTCGGAGCAGAGCTGTAACAGTCAACAGAGCAGTTACACTTTTCCTGCTTTCCCCGAGTCGGGTCACTCTTTTCTGGCAGGGGCTACTCTTTCAGCCTGTATTGAATTCAGGGAAGTAGTTAGTCCCCTATGCGCTGTGACTGAGCTTTGAAAGACTGAAGGCTCACAGTGGAAGTCTGGAACAAGTCTGTTGGACGCCAGTGTCAGAGAGAGAGAGAGAGAGAGAGAGAGAGAGAGAGAGAGAGAGAGAGTAGCCCAAGACATTAGCAAGTTGTGAGATGGATTTAAATAAGGATATCTTCTTCTCACCCTTTTGAAATCCCATTCAGAGAAATATTACATTCACCGTTACCTGTCTGTATCCAGCGCTACCAGGGGCTTCTCATCTGGGCTGGTCTGGTCTAAAGAGGAGTAGCCTTTGTTTGGCACCACCAACCTAAAGAAGAGGAGAGAAGAAAATACTTGGAGATTAGAAACACGAAACCTGTATGAAAAGGAGGCATATGCGCCGCCACCATAGCAATCTAACTCAGCAGAAGATACAGGTCATGGGGATCCTCCTCAAAGTCAAATCTTCAAGTTCAAGTTTTCAATACAAGGGGCAATAAAAAGGGCAATATACCCCAAAAACCTCAACTTGAATTTTAGCTCAGTTCCAGTTATGTGGCGCCAAAATAAAGATATTCTGGTTCCTGGGTTTCTCTTTCGATCTCTTGAATAAAACAGATCTGTGGCTAAAACTGGGATATCATAAATGGCACGAACCAGCCTCCTCCTCAGCAGCAGCAGCTGTCCCAGTCAGCCACAGCATGGGTTAGCACTCTCCTAGCCTGGTTAGAGCGCATTTGGCTAATCGCCGGCCTCCAATCTATCGGGCGCTGCCCATAATCTGGGGCTCTGGGTGTAGGGGGAGCTGCTTTCACATCTCTGCTAATCCACCCAGGGACTAGGATTACAGACAAAGGGAAGGGCCCCTGTTAGTGGGTTTGACTGAACCAGGCCCAAGGTTAATCAACTAGAGTGAGCCTGAATTTAGCATTCACACAGACCTCCATTTCTAAAGTCCCTGTTTTGTTATGAATGGTTTATATTTTGGGTTTTAAAATGTTAAATGTCATCGTAAGAACTGTGTGGCTGTCCCCTTGGAGGGTTGGTGTAGAAGTGCTTTGAATGGCCTGACCTTTCTCTGGGTAAAAGTTTACAGACACAAAAATATTCTTAACTTTTTATAGCATTTCAAATTGAATGGAAAGGGCACAAAATGTGACAAAATAACTCAAACAAGCACCAAATTGCCTTGTCATGAATGTATTATACATTTTTGTATTGGGCCACGGTAACGGAATTACGCTTTGACTCAAAATGTATGCCAAACAAAAACCATTGATTTCAAAGTTTAATAAACCATACAATTCTATGCACAAGGACAACTTTTAACAATTTCCACTGATAAATGTACAAAAAGTAATTTAGTGGAAGAACTGTGCAGATGCAAACTTTGGTAATGGAATTATGGTAAAATCTCCCTCAGGTTTTTATGCAACCACATTTTCCAAACACTTAAATATCTGCTCCGAATTAAGATTCAACGATGTCTGCAGAAAGAATGTGGTGTCAGCTATGACATGACACCTTGAGTTTGAAAAAATCTATTTTGGTTATTGAACTACAGTAAGTGAAGTGGATTTACACCTGGTAACAGAATTACGGTAATGGAATTGCATCATGGGTCCCTGATCTGTACTACACAGAAATGCATAATTATGGATATGTGTCACTAGTCTGGACATCACAGCAGAGTAGGGTAGAGTAGAGTTCAGTACATTAGAGCAGGGTTTCCCAAACTCGGTCCTGGGGACCCCAAGGGATGCACGTTTTGGTTTTTGCCCTAGCACCACACAGCTGATTTAAAATAACCAACTCATCATCAAGCTTTGATTATTTGAATCAGCAGTGTAGTGCTAGGGCAAAAACCAAAACGTGCACCCCTTGGGGTCCCCAGGACCGAGTTTGGGAAACCCTGCATTAGGGTACAGTACAATACAATGTACTATACTGTGCTCTACACGCTGTACTGTATTGTACTCTACTCACTGTACAGTACTGTGCTGTACTTTGTGAAACATACATCTATGATAGGTTCAGATTTGGTCTGGTGCATCTGTGGACGTTAACATCAAGGCCAGGGTGGAATGACCAAATTTCAACTACTTTTCAGCGTCCATGGACATCCAGTGTCGGTGAGGATGCTGGTTACAGTAAAGGCAATGAGAGGGGGCTCATGTGTCAGTAAGACATTAACTGGAGTCTGAGAGAGAAAGGCAGAGGGAGAGAGAAAGGCGGAGGGAGGGGCTGTCCAGACTCAGACTGTTTTAACACTCTTGGTTTGACCACCAGACAACAGAAAGAAAACATAACAGTATGCCAGTGGAAGCGAGGACAGTAGCAGGTGACCCAACTGTGGTTTGTGACTATTATGATTTCCCACTGTAGCCAATTTTGTTGCAGTAATTCCATTACTGATTTATTGGTAACAGAATTAAGAGTTTTAATCACTTACAGTGCGTTCGGAAAGTATTCAGACCCCTTGAGTCTTTCCACATTTTGTTCCGTTACAGCCTTATTCTAAAATGGATTAAATAAATAGAAATCCTCAATCTACACACAATACCCCATAATGAAAAAGCGAAAACAGGTTTTTAGAAATGTTGGCAAATGTATTAAAAATAAAAATCTTATTTACATAAGTATTCAGACCCTTTGCTATGAGACTCGAAATTGAGCTCAGGTGCATCCTGTTTCCATTGATCATCCTTGACATGTTTCTACAACTTGATTGGAGTCCACCTGTGGTAAATTCAATTGATTGGACATGATTTGGAAAGGCACACACATTTACATTGACATTTTAGTCATTTAGCAGATGCTCTTATCCAGAGCGACTTACAGTTAGTGAGTGCATACATTTTTCATACTGGCCCCCCGTGGGAAACGAACCCACAACCCTGGCGTTGCAAACGCCATGCTTTACCAACTGAGCTACAGGGGACTACATTAGAGCAGGGTTTCCCAAACTCGGTCCTGGGGATCCCAAGGGTCCCACAGTTGACAGTGCATGTCAGAGCAAAAACCAAGCCATGAGGTCAAAGGAATTGTCTGTAGAGCTCCGAGACAGGATTGTGTCGAGGCACAGATCTGGGGAAGAGTATCAAAAACTGTCTGCAGCATTGAAGGTCCCTAAGAACATAGTGGCCTCCAGCATTCTTAAATGGAAGAAGTTTGGAACCACCAAGACTCTTCCTAGAGCTGGCCGCCCGGCCAAACTGAGCAATCGGGGGAGAAGGGCCTTGGTCAGGGAGGTGACCAAGAACCTGATGGTCACTGACAGAGCTCCAGAGTTCCTCGGTGGAGATGGGAGAATCATCCAGAAGGACAACCATCTCTGCAGCACTCCACCAATCAGGCCTGACGGAAACCACTCCTCTGTAAATGACAGCCCGCTTGGAGTTTGTCAAAAGGTACCTAAAGGACTATCAGACCATGATAAACAAGATTCTCTGGTCTGATAAAACCAATATTGAACTCTTTGGCCTGAATCCCAAGCGCCACATCTGGAGGAAACCTGGCATTATCCCTACGGTGAAGCATGGTGGTGGCAACATCATGCTGTGGGGATGTTTTTCAGCGGCAGTGACTGAGAGACTAGTCAGGGAAAGATGAACGGAGGAAAGTACAGAGACATCCTTGATGAAAACCTGCTCCAGAGGGCTCAGGACCTCAGACTACAGTGAAGGTTCACCTTCCAACAGGACAACGACCCTAAGCACACAGCCAAGACAACGCAGGAGTGGCTTCAGGACAAGTCTATGAATGTCCATGAGTGGCCCAGCCAGAGCCCAGACTTGAACCCGATCTAACATCTCTGGAGAGACCTGAAAATAGCTGTGCAGCGACGCTCCCCATCCAACCTGACAGAGCTTGAGAGGATCTGCAGAGAAGAATGGGAGAAACTCCCCAAATACAGGTGTGCCAAGCTTGTAGCGTCATACCCAAGAAGATTTGAGGCTGTAATCGCTGCAAAAGGTGCTTCAACAAAGTACTGAGTAAAGGGTCTGAATACTTATGTAAATGTGATATTTCAGTTATTTTTCTATAAATGTGCAACATTTTCTAAAAACCTGTTTTTGCTTTGTCATTATGGGGTATTGTGTGTAGATTGATGAGGGGAAAAAAAACAATTTAATCCATTTTAGAATAAGGATAATGTTGAAAAAGTCAAGGGGTCTGAATACTTTCCGAATGCACTGTAACGCAAACAAAATTGATATCAGTAAAATCGCTATAACTAATTGGTATGTCTACCATTACTTGTTACTTCTGTGAACTTCCATTATCCTCCATCCTATGAGGGAGAGAAATTAGAAAATATCTTAAAGATATGGGGGGTTTTGGTAACAGAATTACAAGGCACAATGCAATATTTCTTAAACGTACAGAAGGTAGGCCTAAACAATTTCTCAAAAACTAAATAGAAGGGTTCATATTAGTTAGTAGAGATCTTTACATCAACATTACTTTGTTTTGGTGTATATCTGATACCGTTTAAGACTTTCTGGTAGATGTTTTTCTAAGACCCATTTTCCATCAGTTTACCCAGAAATCAAAACCTTTACTTATGCCTCATTTTTAAGATGGAAAATGGATCTATGCCTTAATTTCCCAAAAATACAGACTCCTAGCTTTCATTTGACACCCAATTTGATATGCCCTATTAACTTCACGTTGGTGCTCATGGGTCCTTTTCGATGAAAATGCCCCAAAATAATAACATGGTGAGGAAACCATAAAGTGTGAGCTTGTTACCGTGTTCTGGCCATGACGTTGTTCTTCTTGGGTTGCTGGTTGACAGGGCTACCCACGGTCCCATTTTTTACTGATCCCTTCCTGGCCAGCACTCTCTGTTTCTCTGCCAATCACAGGAGATGACGTCATAGTTAGAGACAATTAACAAACAAGGCAACAGTAAACATGTCGTCCCCCATGAATGATGCAGCGCCCCTCCTTGGGCCAATTGAGATAGTCACAAGCGGCAACAAATTACAGTTCATTACTACAGCTCCCGCCTTGGGCCAATCAGTGTCATTTTGTAAATGCTGGATCTCTACGGCAAGACGCATCATTCACCTAAATGTCTTCAAAATCGGACCAGTGCTGTCTGAGATATCGCGTGTCACTAATATATGAACGAACAGAGACAGATCCAAGTCCCCTCTCCAATTTCATTGTGGGGAACAATGAGTGAAACTGTCACCTCCCATCCCCATTGTCTTCCAACAGGTGGAGTCATTCCTAGGCGACACACAGTCCTCAGCGTAGTCGTCACCGCTATTTGATGCAAGACAATGCCCCAATACCCTTTTCGACAATGTATTAAATTGACTCACTTGTTCATCTGCTTTGATTTCTTTACTGGGTCTACAATAAAACATGTTGCTTTCAGGTCCATCACTACCATCTACCTGAAAATGACTAAAAACTAATGAGAGTAGGCAACCATACTGCAACACTGGTTGTGCTGCTATATGGAACACTGTGGTAATTTATCATTCATATAACCCTACTGGCGGGGCATGTGGGGTTTTCATGTAAACTTTGGCCTTGACTTTTATGTGACTTCCACACTGTCGTCTGTGTGCTTGGAATTCCTCTGCGGTGCAGTAGTCAATAAGCATGCTGCCAAGCCAATGATTGTGATGCAAAGCTTTTTAACATCAACATAACACTATTTATTTAATCTCTGAAGCACAGTGCTGCTGACCAACTGAGTGCATGAGAGGGAGATAGGGTTATGGGATTGGAAGTTGTGACCTCATTGCCCTTTCAAAGATCCTGCCCTGGGATACATTGAGTAAATTCAGCCTGTCACTGCTAGATAGCCTGTGTCAATCAAGGAGGACCTTTATGTAGCAAGGGTAGAATTGCTATTGGGTATTGGCTTTAGGCAATATATCCCAAACAACCACAGCAATGCTCAGGGAGATCAAAAACACTAAAGCTTTATTAGGCTTTAGTGTGGAAACAGTTTAATAGGAATACAGTGCATTCGGAAAGTATTGAGACCATTAGACTTTTTCACATTTTGTTACGTTACAGCCTTATTCTAAAATGGATTACATAATTTTTTCCCCCTCATCAATCTACACACAATACCCCATAATGACGAAGTGAAAACAGGTTTTTAGAAATGTTTGCTGATTTACTAAAAATGAAAAATAAAAAATAAAAACATATTTACATAAGTATTCAGACCCTTTGCTTTGTGACTCGAAATTGAGCTCAGGTGCATCCTGTTTCCATTGATCATCCTTGAGATGTTTCTACAACTTGGAGTCCACCTGTGGTCAATTCAATTGATTGGACATGATTTGGAAAGGCACACACCTGTCTATATAAGGTCCCACAGTTGACAGTGCATGTCAGAGCATAAACCAAGCCATGAGGTCGAAGGAATCGTCCGTAGAGCTCCGAGACAGGATTGTGTCGAGGCACAGATCTGGGGAAGGGTACCAAAACATTTATGTAGCATTGAAGGTCAACAAGAACACAGTGGCCTCCATCATTCTTAAATGGAAGAAGTTTGGAAACACCAAGACTCTTCCTAGAGCTGGCCGCCCGGCCAAACTGAGCAATCAGGGGAGAAGGGCCTTGGTCAGGGAGGTGACCAAGAACCCGATGGTCACGCTGACAGAGCTCCAGAGTTCCTCTGTGAATATGGGAGAACCTTCCAGAAGGACAACCGTCTCTGCAGCACTCCACCAATCAGGCCTTTATGGTAGAGTGGCCAGACGGAAGTCACTCCTCAGTAAAAGGCACGACAGCCCGCTTGGAGTTTGCCAAAAGGCACCTAAAGGACTCTCAGACCATGAGAAACAAGATTCTCTGGTCTGATGAAACCAAGACTGAACTCTTCGGCCTGAATGCCAAGCATCAAGTCTGGAGGAAACCTGGCACCATCCTTACGGTGAAGCATTGTGGTGGCAGCATCATGCTGTGGGGATGTTTTTCAGCGGCAGGGACTGGGAGACTAGTCATGATCAAGGATAAGATGAATGGAGGAAAGTACAGAGAGATCCTTGATGAAAACCTGCACCAGAGCACACAGGACCTCAGACTGGGGTAAAGGTTCACCTTCCAACAGGACAACGACCATAAGCCCACAGCCAAGACAACGCAGGAGTGGCTTTGGGACAAGTCTCTGAATGTCCTTGAGTGGCCCAGCCAGAGCCCGGATTTGAACCCGATCTAACATCTCTGGAGAGACCTGAAAATAGCTGTGCAGCAACGCTCCCCATCCAACCTGACAGAGCATGAGAGGATCTGGAGAGAAGAATGGGAGAAACTCCCCAAATACAGGTGTGCCAAGCTTGTAGCGTAATACCCAAGAAGAATCGAGGCTGTAATCACTGCCAAAGGTGCTTCAACAATGTACTCAGTAAAGGGTCTGAATATTTATGTAAATGTGATATTTCAGTGTTTTATTTTTAAGAAATGTGCAAACATTTCTAAAAACCTGTTTTTGCTTTGTCATTATGGGGTATTTGTGTGTAGATTGATGAGGAATAAAAACATTGTAATCAATTTTAGAATAAGGCTGTAACGTAACAAAATGTAGAAAAAGTCAAGGGGTCGGAATACTTTCCGAATGCACTGTATCTTGGCTATGGCCAATATCAGTCAGTAACTAAAAACCTATTTTGACAGCTCTAGGCCTATGTCAAGAAAAAACATTCAGCAAAACATGGTAAAGGAGTAATGTTACAAAGATACTACATGCCATAGAATAATTGAATAACTTTGGTCTATCTGACAGAACCTGCCTTTCTACATGTGTCTGTGAAAAAACTGAAGATTCCATCTCGCTGTCATACAGTGAGGGAAAAAAGTATTTGATCCCCTGCTGATTTTGTACATTTGCCCACTGACAAAGAAATGATCAGTCTATAATTTTAATGGTATGTTTATTTGAACAGTGAGAGACAGAATAACAACAACAAAATCCAGAAAAAAACGCATGTCAAAAATGTTATAAATAGATTTGCATTTTAATGAGGGAAATAAGTATTTGACCCCCTCTCAATCAGAAAGATTTCTGGCACCCAGGTGTCTTTTATACAGGTAACGAGCTGAGATTAGGAGCACACTCTTAGAGGGAGTGCTCCTAATCTCAGTTTGTTACCTGTATAAAAGACACCTGTCCACAGAAGCAATCAATCAATCAGATTCCAAACTCTCCACCATGGCCAAGACCAAAGAGCTCTCCAAGGATGTTAGGGACAAGATTGTAGACCTACACAAGGCTGGAATGGGCTACAAGACCATCGCCAAGCAGCTTGGTGAGAAGGTGACAACAGTTGGTGCGATTATTCGCAAATGGAAAAAACACAAAAGAACTGTCAATCTCCCTCGGCCTGGGGCTCCATGCAAGATCTCACCTCGTGGAGTTGCAATTATCATGAGAACGGTGAGGAATCAGCCCAGAACTACACAGGAGGATCTTGTCAATGATCTCAAGGCAGCTGGGACCATAGTCACCAAGAAAACAATTGGTAACACACTACGCTGTGAAGGACTGAAATCCTGCAGCGCCCGCAAGGTCCCCCTGCTCAAGAAAGCACATATACAGGGCCGTCTGAAGTTTGCCAATGAACATCTGAATGATTCAGAGGAGAACTGGGTGAAAGTGTTGTGGTCAGATGAGACCAAAATGGAGCTCTTTGGCATCAACTCAACTCGCCGTGTTTGGAGGAGGAGGAATGCTGCCTATGACCCCAAGAACACCATCCCCACCGTCAAACATGGAGGTGGAAACATTATGCTTTGGGGGTGTTTTTCTGCTAAGGGGACAGGACAACTTCACCGCATCAAAGGGACGATGGACGGGGCCATGTACCGTCAAATCTTGGGTGAGAACCTCCTTCTCTCAGCCAGGGCACTGAAAATGGGTCGTGGATGGGTATTCCAGCATGACAATGACCCAAAACACACAGCCAAGGCAACAAAGGAGTGGCTCAAGAATAAGCACATTAAGGTCCTGGAGTGGCCTAGCCAGTCTCCAGACCTTAATCCCATAGAAAATCTGTGGAGGGAGCTGAAGGTTCGAGTTGCCAAACGTCAGCCTCGAAACCTTAATGACTTGGAGAAGATCTGCAAAGAGGAGTGGGACAAAATCCCTCCTGAGATGTGTGCAAACCTGGTAGCAAACTACAAGAAACGTCTGACCTCTGTGATTGCCAACAAGGGTTTTGCCACCAAGTACTAAGTCATGTTTTGCAGAGGGATCAAATACTTACTTCCCTCATTAAAATGCAAATCAATTTATAACATTTTTGACATGCGTTTTTCTGGATTTTTTTGTTGTTATTCTGTCTCTCACTGTTCAAATAAACCTACCATTCAAATTATAGACTGATCATGTCTTTGTCAGTGGGCAAACGTACAAAATCAGCAGGGGATCAAATACTTTTTCCCCTCACTGTATATGCCTATCATTTACATTGACATTTTAGTCATTTAGCAGACGCTCTTATCCAGAGCGACTTACAGTTAGTGAGTGCATACATTTTCATAATGGCCCCCCGTGGGAAACGAACCCACAACCCTGGCGTTGCAAGCGCCATGCTCTACGCAAAGAACACAGCATTGCTCCAAAAATAATAGATGAACTACTGAATGAGAATAACGCCATTGACTCATTAATAGCATGTCATCAATTTATATATGTTGTTATATATTGACTGAATGACTTAATAATTGATAGATGGAGAGATGGTCTTATTGAAGGCCACCATGTGTTAGTAGAACACAGACACATTGATGTTGTACTGGGAATGAGGAGTGGAGATGCTATAAATAAGGCTCACCTATTTTCACTTGCAGTTGGGAGGGCTTGTAGTTCATGGCCACCGTTTCACCTTCTCTAGTGTCAGAGTCGGCCTCGGATCCTGCTGGGTCCTGCTGCAGAAAAAAACTGATGATTAGCTTTCACAGGTTTGACATGGTCATTTTCTATCAGATGTGTTCAACTTTCAAGATTCGCTGTGGTTGTTTAACATTTTACCTCTGGCACAAATCAGCTTCCATATGCGACAGTCCTATTTCCAATTCCAAAACAGGCAGACTTCACAACCGGTATAAATATTTGTATTATTTTACCATGCCTAAAGGCCTTTTCCAGCCCCTTGAGCACCTTTTTCCCCTCATCTATCCTGGTGTTCTATTTATATTTTACTGTTTAGTTAGCCTCTGCTTCCAGACTTCGCTCACGTGAGGTGAAAGCCTGTGAGAGGCTACTGTTAAGTGTGTGCCTGCTTGTGACTCTATGCTAGGTCAGTTTCCACTGCCAGAGCACTCTACTGGTGAGACTGGGCTGGGAGTAGGCCAGTGAGGCTGTCTGTGAGTGACGTCACTCGGGGGCCGTGGGAGAACAGAGGGGGTTCCTGTTGGACCTCCAGTGCTAAGAGAGAGACAGGACTGCGTCCCAAATGGAACCCTATATAGTGCACTACTTTTGACCAGGCTCTGGTCACAAGTAGTGCACTATAAAGGGAATAGGGTGCCTTTTGGGACCCAGACGAGAGCTGCTGGGTGGTGGAAGGTCTGGCTGGCTGGTCTGCCTACTCCACTGACAGAGCCCTGCATTATGTTCACCACAAGCCTGTCACAGCCAGCAAAGTAGGCCGGAGTGGAGATCCCACAAGGGCAGCCTGAAAGAACACTGCATTCGCTCCAGGGAACTGCCTGGCTGCCGTGTTGAAACAACAGACCACTAACAAGCAGCACAGCAGGCAGAGCCTGAAACTACTATACAGCACCTAGTGAAAGTATCCAGTATCCACTCCCTCACACAGTTTTCCCATTCTGCTGACTTCAATTTTACAAGCATAGTTTATTACATTTAAAACACGTAATGTGTAGTCTACACTGTAGACAGACCTAAGTGTCATTACGCAATAGCCTACATTTCTATTTGTAATTTAGCACACACTCATCCAGAGGAACTAACACACACTTTCTTATTCTCTCTCAGAACAAGTGTTAAATAACAGACTCAGAGCGTTTTCCCGTCTAGTATAATTCATCCCGGCACTGGACACAAACAATGGCTTCATCCGGTAAAATATTGTTCATTAAGCTGAAAGAATTAATCAAAACTGACAACGTGGTGCTAACAGAGCACAGGGACATGGGAAAGTACAACAATGAGCTATTCCCACTGTAACAGCCTGCAAACATCAGGCTATTTTTGTTCTGCGACAAAGACCCGTTATTTTCTTTGAGGTTTTCCAAGCACCAGCTTCTCCTTCTACCCATTCAGAGTCACACCTCAGCTCACACAATACTAAACTACTGAGAGGTCTGAGCAGCTGGAGAGAAAATAAACCTTCAATATTGTATCTCCACTCACAGTAGATGAAGTGTGGATGATGTGTCAAGTTATGGAATTTTGTTCTTCTTGAGGTCTTTAATCTAGTATGGATGCATGTAGAAGGTGCATCTGTGTTTATTTTGATGGAGTGAGCTCTCACTGTGCACAAGGTGTGAGGGATACATGTTAGAGGTCATACTACATATCATCCACACACACCGATACATCTTCGATATGCATCCATGCTTGATGAAAGACCTCAAGGACATCATACCATACACTACACCAGTTAAACTAGGCGTGTTTCAAATGGCCTAGTCTGGTCAGCTATGACCTCCAGCGCTAACAGCCGCCAGTGTGATCATGATGAAGAGCCACAAGGTTGCTGACGTGGCACTGCTAGGGGATTAGTGGGATTATTAATCTGGGCTCCCATCGGACCAATGACAGCGCAGGCTGATCGATCAGGACAGCCAGCCACGAGTCTTGAAATTAGTTTGACAGTAAATACAGTTTCAAGTTTGTTGTGAAGCCTGCACCATGACTACAGCCTTCAACAATCACTCTAATTCAGGACAAAACATAATGCTAGAGCAAAATTGAGGATTGTCTTGTAAATAGATGTGTATAGCGTTCTAGATGTCAGAGTTGGGGGGCAAATTCCAGTTCCTGTCAGTTAAATTGGATGTGGCATTTGGATTAAATACATGTCACCATTCTATAGTGCTGTTTAAGTTCAAGTGAGTGTTGGCACAACCCAACTCTAACCATAGCCTAATTCTACACAGGACAGCTTGTTTTATTCATTTGAAGTCCATTTCAGAACATTTGAGAAGCAGATGCCGAGTTGATTCATGTTCTTTACTATTCACAATGATTAGCATGAGAATGCACAGAGCTCTCTGTGCAACAGAACAGCTGGCTCTTTGACTCTCTGATATGGTTTGGATGAGGAGAGACTACAAGTTGTCATTGCAGTCTACGTAGACCTAACAGACCTAGCCATGGGATTTTCTTCAAATCAATCAGGCTAGAAGTAGAAACCAATACTAGCAACCTGAATAGATTTCAAAAAGAGGGCGTATTATACTAGAGATTTTTTATCACTGACAGCAGTAGTAAGTTTAAGTTTTATTACAATAACAGGCTTGAGGAAAGGTGAATGTCAATGTTGAGAATTTAAAAGAAGCAGGCTGAGAGAATAAAATAATGGCAATGATAGAGCTCTACCATTCATTTATGACCAACACAGACACATTAAGGCGTAACCAGATAAAATAATTAAATCCATGCCAGCATTAGCAGACGTGAGAAACATGAGAACATGGACTGTGAATCAAATCGATATGTTGAAGAGAAGCGAGACAGGCCTAAATTATTCTCTCTGATTTTCTGCAACCCTCGGGGGGATGCAGGCATGGACAGGATGAAAACCTGCCTGCACAGAGCATCAGTCTGCCCACCTACAGCCACGTAGCTTCATTTGGAAAGGACAGCTGGTTAAAGTGAAGTGTGTTTGAAGCAAGGCACACCTAATAATATCAAAGAAGCCCCCACAGTGTAGCTGGACTGTATCTTTTTCAAGTTCAAAGTATTTTCTATCCAATGCACCTTGAAAGAGAAGATATATAACCATCAGACACTGGGCCCTCCATGGAATGAGTTTGACACCCCTGGTGTAGAGGCACTGAAGGGACCTAACCATAGTGTATGGGGCCCTACGCACATCAAGAGGTCTGAATGGTGAAATACCATAAAGAAACAATGAAGGACACTGAAAGACCTTGTTGTGGTGGTGAACCTATACACATCCTGCACTGACAGGCCCCTGCAGTCCCTGTTGAGACTCAAGAGGTACAGAGAGGTGCTTGCTGAAACAGCAAATATCTAACACCATGCATATATTGACGCTAGAATGTACAAATTAAAAGTGCATGGACACACTGTGTCCAGACCAGTCCAGTGTATACATGAACAGTGCACGTGTGAATGTTAATCTGTATCCAGAGTTAAGCCTATCAGTGGTAGAGTGAGTTCATCAACGAAAGTGTTGAAGGGATGACAAGAGGCAGACGTTTTGGTATCATGGTTAGTTTGAGAAGAGAAAACATACTGTAATTCTCTCAACCAGACGTCCCTACCATCTCGGGCTATGCATCAGCTGAGGCTGGGACTGAGGCTGGGGTTTCCGCGCTGGGGCTATGCATCAGCTGGAGACAGCGTTTATTCACCCAGCCAGCAGCAGTCATATCGAAGCGAGCTCTTCTTCCCCCTCTCCAATTCACAAGAAATAACACGTCACCAGTTTGGTTAGAAACTAATCTCGATGGCAATGGTGGCCAGACGAAGTCCATTCAATCAAATGTTATCGGTTAGAAGAAATGCTTAGGAGGACTCAAACATAATTGTCAAATGGGAACCCACCCACCCCCGCCCCAAGCAAACAACACCAGGCAGTCGCTGGCCAGCTGTCTGACAAGGATTTTCGACAAAGCCACCAGTACACGCATTTAAATTGTAATATAGGCTTAATTTCAAGGTAATTTGAACTCTAAAATGAAGCTAGTAATAAACGCAACAACACATTGCACTTACCAAGGGCTGCGTCTCTGTCTCTGTAACTGGGGGTACTTGGAACCTATCAATTTCTTCTTCCTTCATCATTTTCGACGAATGGTGTTAGCTAGCTAACGTTACACCGCCAAACCGATGCAAGATCTTAATATTTGTAGACACAAAAATACTCGACTTATTCCTTAGTTTGTCGCATTAACGATCAGTTATTTTTTCATTATTCTCGTTTGTTTTCTGCCTCTAGTCAGTCAGTAAGGCATGGTCAGATCTGGTGACTCAACCAAAACAGACAGCACTAACGACGTCGGTACTAGTGATTGGTCGTTCGCGAATGAACGGCTCTTTTTGGTGAACGTTGGGAACATAATCGCATCTTTGAAAGAGCCGTTCATTTGGCTCCCTGATTTGCATACTGTTTACTACTGCTTTTTGAGCTAAAAACAAAGTTTTTCTGCGGATAAGTTACAAAATAATTATCTAAAGAGAGTGAATCCTCACTGCAAAAACAATAAACAATGGGGAGAGCGCGTCAATCTGGTCCACGCCGTTTGGGAGCCAAATGAGCCGGCTCACCGAAAAGACTCGGAATGCCATCACTAGTCGGTGCCATCTTCCGGGTCTGGAAAAACATATACATTATTCATGACATCACAGTCCAATCATGGACGAATGATGATGGCAGTATGAGATAACGCATGAAAACATCAATTTAGGAGATCACAAGAACAACAACATTGACAATATATAGCCTATTATCTGACATGCTTTAGTCTAGACCTACTTTACAATTGCCTGGTATATTTTGATGGATAATTCAGTCAATTGTACTGTTTAAGTGCATGCAAATGGTTTGAAAATTGCCCTCTGTCCTGTAAAACCTAACTACAAAATCTAGGCTGCATTTGGAATTTCACTATCACAACATTGCATTGACATGCAAAGGACAGCTGGAGGCGCTCGTGCTCAACAAGCTCCAGACCCGACAGGTTCGTTGGCACGGCAACTGATAAACACTTGCAGCTGGAGTGGGGAGTTGCAGCTTGAAAACTTTTCATCTCCCTATTTAAAAAAGAGTTGTTCGTTCGTTATCAATACAGTAAGAAGGCATTTCTTATCAATAGGTTGTTATCTCTTGGACACAATGCCTGTAGCTCACAAGACAGGAACTGTGAAATCCAAGCAGGTAACGTTAACGTTTTCTAACGCTAACATTAGCTAACGTTAGCTAATGTTTTAGCTAATAGATTCGCCATGCTGCATGCGTGACTGTATTCTAACAACGTTGCTCTCAAGTAGCAATAATTGACTGGTTTGCAGATTATTGTCTGCATCTCAACAGTTTACAGTGGCTTCCATTTTTTTGTTCCCTCTCCTTATCTGCATTGAGGTGAAGGAACTACTAGTAAACAGGTGACAGGGCGACTTTCTTTTGTTGCGTTTTTGAACACCTGTAACTGCCATTTTCTGCAATCAAGAGCAGAAATGTGCCTTAAATTATAACAAATAACTTCTTTTTTTTAAGAGTGGCACAACCAGTCCACAAGGTGGCGCAGCAGCCGTCTTACGTTCTTTGGGGAGAACCCTAAGAGGGGCAAATGCCTGGTTGCTATGGTCTATTCTGTGTTATTTTCAGAACATTGCAGATAAAGGAGATAAGACAAGCAGACGAAGCCACTGACTGACTGTAGACTATTGAGATGCAGCCCTAGTGGTGCATGAAACAAAGTTATGAAATATGTCTGTTTTGTATAGGGGTCAAATGCTCAGTCCCAGAAGGCTCCTGCAGCAAAGGCTGCAAAAGCTGCCAGCAAGAAAAAGGTAGGTGGCTATTATAACCATACACAAATTGAATGACTAAATTCTATTTGTGCCATTGGGAGCAGGTAAAGTTCTTCTTACATTTGTGTTTCGTGTCTGGTGTGCTTCGAACTTGTTACATTTGTATCATATTTGAGCGTTGGGCAAAGTTGATATATTGTATCATTTCACCTCACCTGTAAAAGTGAAAAGGAAATCCAGCATCTCTGGAGGACAGTCGAAGTTGTTAACAGGGGTTCTTTAAGATTAACCCACTTCGGTAAAAACCAACGTAGTTTCAGAGTCTAGGCCTACAGTTTTCTATTTCGATTAGGTTTAACGGCGGTTGGCATCCAATAAATGTTTCATTACCGTCACCTACTAGACTGGAGTACAACTCCCGTATACTTTGTTTGAAAAAATTAAAAAAATACCCTACCATCTAACACTACACTCACAAAAATTAAAATACTAATATTATATTTCAAAATCGACTCTTATTGGTCAGATTTTTCTACCAATCCCGTCATGTTTTCTGTTGTATTCCCATTTTGATTGGTCTCTGAAACCATAGGAGGCTAGTTTGAAATACAGTGAGCTCCAAAAGTATTGAGACAATGCATTTTTTGTTGTTGTTTTGGCTCTGTACTCCAGCACTTTGGAATAATACAATGATTGTGAGGTTAAAGTGCAGACTGTCAGCTTTAATTTGAGGGTATTTTAATCTATATCGGGTGAACCATTTAGAAATTACAGCACTTTTTGTTCATAGTCCCCCTATTTTAGGGGACCAAAAGTGTAGGGACAAATTCACTTATATGTGCATTAAAGTAGTCAAAAGTTTAGCATTTGGTCCCATATTCCTAGCACGCAATGATTACATCATTTTGGAGTCATTTTTATTGTAAATAAGGATAGAATATATTTCCAAACACTTCTACATTCATGTGGATGCTACCATGATTACGGATTAATACCCTCAAATTAAAGCTGACAGTCTGCACTTTAACCTCATAGTAATTGCGTCATTTTAAATCCAAAGTGCTGGAGTACAGAGCCAAAACAACAAAAAATGTGTCACTGTCCCAATACTTTTGGCGCTCACTGTATATTGTAATGACCCAGCTGGGTCATAAAGTAAAAGAGAGACGGGCACCAGGTGTACAGGCAGAACACAGGTTTATTCCTGAATGGGCTATTGTTCAGGCCACAGCCCATGCCGCTAAACCTCGAACATACACAAATATAACATGTCAAATCAAGGGTCCCGAACAGAAGAGAGAGAGATGAGACCGTAACCCCTATTTAAGCATTCCAAAACCCCGCGGGATTACCCATCATACCCCCCCAACCTTTCCATCTGTCCTGGCATATTTAACCCCTGCTAGCACCCATGAGAACGATAACACACCCATGAACACAGAACACAATACAGGGTCGTTACATAGCCCCCCCCTTTCTAAACCCTAGCCCCTAGGGTTACAAAACAAAATCCTTAAAACGACCCGGAGGTCGCATCAGTCTCTTGTGCCTCCCCTTGACTCTCACTGGTGGACCCCCAGAACACTCATCTGCCCCAATGTCATTTCCAGCGCCCTCCGAAGAGACAGCCCCCGTCCCAGGCTCAGCTTGCACTAGAGTCTCCTCGCTAGACTGTCCCTGTGTGCTCACATCAGAGTCCTCACTTCCATTCCCTACCGTTTTCCTCCCTCTGTAGGGCGCCAATCGGTCCCGGTGGACCACCACCTTCCTGCTCCGTGGGGGAACCTCCACCCGGTACGTCACCTCCCCCACTCTCTCTATCACCAGGCACGGCCCCACCCAGGCACTGTCCAGCTTTGGGCACCGCCCCTTCTTGCGCGTGGGGTTGTGAAGCCACACGCGTTCTCCCGCTCCAAAGTGCCTCCCCCTAGCGCGTGAGTCATAGTGGCGCTTTTGGCGCATTCCTGCGTTCTCGAGTTGCTCTCTTGCGAAGGTGTGAGCCGCTTCTAACCGGTTCTGCAGACGACGAACATAGTTCGGGCCAGGCAAAACCCCGTCGTCGTTATCAGGAGGGTGGCCAAACGTCAGTTCGGCTGGGGTGCGCAACTCACGACCTAACATTAGTAGCGCTGGGGAGCACGCAGTCGATTCTTGAACAGCCGACCTACATGCCATAAGAATAAACGGTAAGTGGGTGTCCCAATCTCTCTGGTGTTTTGAGGTAACGATAGCCAGCTGTTGTGCTAATGTTCTGTTAAATCTTTCCACCAGCCCATCACTCTGGGGGTGAAGCGGAGTAGTGCGCGTCTTCTCCGCGCCTAACCGTCTACACAACTCTGAGAACACCCGTGACTCAAAGTTTCTCCCCTGGTCGCTGTGTATAGACTGTGGCACCCCGAACCGACTGATTATTCCCCCTACCAATGCATCAGCTACTGTTTCTGCCTCCTGGTCTGGGAGAGCGTAAGCCTCTGGCCACTTGGTGAAGTAGTCCATAGCAGTTAGAATCCACCTGTTACCGCTGTCTGTGGTTGGAAACGGTCCAACTATGTCTACCCCCAGTCTCTCCATGGGCTCCCCTACTGGGAATTGTTGTAGGAGGGCGTGTGACTGACCTGGGGGTCCTTTCTTAGCAGCACACTCATCGCACTGCCTGCAAAAGTCCTCCACATCCCTCCTGTGCCTGGCCCAATAGAAGCCTTTACGTACGCGCTTTAACGTTTTGGAGACCCCAAAATGCCCTGCGCCTACTCCCCCGTGAAGCTGCTGTAACACGCTCCCTTGCAGCCTTTTGGGAACCACTACCTGCCACGTCATTTCTCCAGTAGCTGGCTTTTTCCACCCCCTCTGGAGCACTCCCTCAGCCACTCTAAGGACTGAGAATTTAGCCCAGAGTCCTTTGGTGACTGGTGATAGAGGGGCTACTTCCCCCCATGGCGGTCGTCTTCTCTCTTCCACCCACCCCAGCACAGGACGCAGCTCTGCGTCCTCCTCCTGGCGACGCCTCCACTCCCCGACGTCCACAGCCTCAAGCTCCCGGCACTCTGTCACCCTCAGCTGACTCACCGTGGCGGTGACTCCCTCCTCCATGCACAGTTCCCTCTCTCGCTCCACCCGTTTGGCGCAGTACCCACAGCCGTCCTCAGCACACGGGCGGCGGGACAAGGCGTCTGCATTGCTGTGGCGAAGGCCGGCCCTGTGCTCCACCTGGAAGTCGTAGGGTTGCAGCTCCTCCAACCAGCGGGCGATCTGACCCTCTGGCTCCTTGAAGGAGAGAAGCCACTGCAGGGCGGAGTGATCCGTCCGCACCACAAACGGCAGGCCCCCCAGGTAGTACTTGAAATGGCGTACTGCTGCCACGACAGCCAAAAGCTCCCTCCTTGTCACGCAGTAGCGTTTTTCAGCCTTATCAAAAGTTCTGCTGTAATAAGCTACTACGTGCTCCCCGTCAGAACCACGCTGAGCCAGCACGGCCCCCAAGCCCTCATTGCTTGCGTCGGTGTCCAGGATAAACGGACGGTTCGGGTCTGGTGAGGA